TCTCTAGTACTCCCCAGGCACAGGATAGCTCTGGTTCTGTGAGCAGCTGAGACGCCTCTGCAGAAGCACCATTAGGATTAGCACACTCRTGTTTGTAGTCATTACAGGTCTTGGGGGTGAGAGACACTGGCCCAGCAGGACTGGACAGGGAGATGCAGATACCAGGCTGGAGGAAGCAGGACTTACAGTCTGCCAGGGCAGAGAGCTTGCTGGCTGCAAATCCTGCTTTATCCCTGCACTTTTTTATGCTTAAAATTGTATTCTCTAACAGAAAGGCTCAGCTTTCACAAAGTAAGGCCTTTGAAGAATAATTTCACAAAATCCTTTACATGGCAAAGGCTATAAACCCCCCTCAGCTTTCATACAATTTTGCTTTTACCAGTCAGTGCTGTGGCAGGTCACTGACCACAGAACCAAACAGGGACCACTACGGGTGACTTAGAGAGGCCTGGATATAAAAGTTAATTTATTGTTTCAGAAGAGATGATAGGAAATCAGCTGTAAGTAAATGTACACRCACATGAAAACTGTAATGACTGGCTCCTGGCACTGAGTGTCTTCAAACAGGCTCTGAATTCCAGGGAAACAGAAGGTATGTTGCAGATGAGCATCACACTGTAGTGATGTATTGTTTAGATGACCTTAGGAAGTGGAAACATTGGCATAAAGGTGGAAACTCCTCAGATTTTGGTAGAAAATATGCACTCACTAAAAAGTGCTTACTTACCTTCAGTATCTAACCCTCCACAGAATGAACCCCTCTACCAAGTGCTGTATGAGAAAGTACTCAGAGCTCATCCCCAGGGCCAGCTTCTCAAGCTAAGTAAATTATCACATTGCAACAAACGTTGTAAACCATGGCTTTAATTTACAACGAGTAAGTATACACAAAGGCWTTCCTGTGCTTGTCATATCACCTTCACAAAGTGATCGCGCGTGAATAGCTTCCCTTCGGACGTCATCTTGAGATGCAGCACTCGAACCGAGAGATGCTTCAGTGGTGACGGATTGCTGCCATCCTGTGGCAGGYACATGTATTTCAGACTGACATTGCCTGAGAGAAAAGTCCTTCAAAGGCGTCGTTTTACAAAGAACTCCTACCAAACCGTATTATTCTTAAATGGCACAGCAGGAAAACCAATCGTCTGTAAACTGCAATATTCAGATCTTAGAAAGCCATGAGCCATTATTGAGATCCTACTACAAGTTACTCTCCAAAGCAGAAATTAAGGACCAGGTGAGAATGGGCTCATGTCACCTTTTCACTTGGAAAGGTATTGCAACAATTGAGTGGTCTAACTCCAGAAAGGGTGCTTGCAAACCCTTGCCCAGTTCTAATCCTAACAATATCAGACTCACAGTTCCAGAATGGACATAAATAAAAGGATATCCCTCATATTCATAGGATATCCCTGATATCMATAAATTAAAGGATATCCTGTTTCTGATGGCAACACAGTGCTGGTGTCCTCAACTGGAAAAGCCATCAGRTGGCTCGAATAAGGCAAGCTCCCTGCTAAGATTGTATCCAAWTACAATAGCACCATTCCTAATACTGAATATAAGGGTGTGTGTTTGGGGAAGCATGTGACATAAATGACCAGTGAATGACCAGTTGCTTGTTACTTCCTGACATTCTATGTCTCACATCTTGTCCCCAGTTTTAGTCTCGGGTGGGAGAAATAGTTTTCTTTAACATGGCTGTGAGACCCAGGCACCTGGGAACATGTGAGAACTTGCAGATTGACAATAATGGGTCCAATGGAT